TGAGGGGAATTGTGTGGATGGGGCAGTGTGAGGGGAACTGTGAGGATGGAGTGGCGTGAGGGGAACTGTGAGGATGGAGTGGCGTGAGGGGAACTGTGAGGATGGAGTGGCGTGAGGGGAATTGTGTGGATGGGGCAGTGTGAAGGGAATTGTGAGGATGGACTGGCATGAGGGGAATTGTGTGGATGGGGCAGTGTGAGGGGAACTGTGTGGATGGGGCAGTGTGAGGGGAACTGTGAGGATGGAGTGGCGTGAGGGGAACTGTGAGGATGGAGTGGCGTGAGGGGAATTGTGTAGATGGAGCAGTGTGAGGGGAACTGTGAGGATGGAGCAGTGTGAGGGGAACTGTGAGGATGGAGTGGCATGAAGGGAACAGTGAGGATGGAACAGTGTGAGGGGAACTGTACGGGTGGAGCAGCATCCAGGGAATTGCCCAAATATTGGGATTAGTGGGGAAAGGAAGGACAGAAGACATAGAGTAACTCAAGTTCAGACAGATATGAGTAAGGTGTGGAGAGGAAGGGGCATGTAACATTCTAGTAAGAGAGATTCAGGTGGGTAGCCACGTTGGTCTGAAGCCATAGAACAAAGTTTGAGTCCAGTGGCAGCTTTAAGACCAACAAAGTTTAATTCTGGATATAAGCTTTCATGTGCATACCCAGAATAAAACTTTGCTGGTCTTAAAGGTGTCACTGGACTCAGACTTTATTGTAGTAAGAGGTTCATCATGGATAGATGGCTGTTGGGCAGACTGGACAGGGAAGGGTGAAAGTGGGGTTGAAGAAATGGGCTGTGTGGTTATCCTCACTCCTTTGCCAGTTTGGTGTAGTGGTTAAGTACGTGGACTCTTATCTGGGAGAACCGGGTTTGATACCCCACTCCTCCACTTGCAGCTGCTGAATGACCTTGGGCAAGCCATAGTCCTGACGAGAGCTGTCCTTGAAAGGGTAGTTCTGGAAAGAGCTCTCTCAGCCCCACCTACCTCACAGGGTGTCTGTTGTGGGGAGGGGAAGGGAAAGGAGTTTGTAAGCCGCTCTGAGACCCCGAGTGAAGGGCGGGATATAAATCCAATATCATCTTCTTCTTCTTCTTCTTCTTCTTCTTCTTCTTCTTCTTCTTCTTCTTCTTCTTCTTCTTCTTCTTCTTCTTCTTCCTCCTCCTCTTCCTCTTCCTCTTCCTCTTCCTCTTCCTCTTCCTTGCCCTCCCAGGTGGCTGGCCTACATTCTGCTGCTGCTGCTGGACCTCATCATCTGCCTCTTCACCTTGCTTGGGCTGGCGAAGCAGATCAAGTGGCTGGTAATCGTGTGAGTGCACCATCTGGTGGGCACATCTGGGCACTGCTGCATTAGGGTGGTGGTTGGGAAAGCTTGGGAGTTTGGGAGAGGGAGGGGCACAAGATGAGACCATTGCGCCCAGAAGCAATTCAAAGGGATCTGTTTGATGCGCTGCAAAATCTTCTATCCAGAGGAAGAAGCAGAATACCAGCTCATTTTAGGAGTGTTTCAGGGGTTAGATTTAGCTTTTTTCTTTCTTTTTCTTTTTTAGGGGAGTGTTTAGTGACAAAGCTCCTGCCAACCTAGCAGTTCGAAAGCAAGAAATTGCAAGTAGATAAATAGGTACCACTTCGGTGGGAAGGGAACAGCGTTCCGTGCGCCTTGGTAGTCATGCGGGCCACATGACCACGGAAACGTCTTTAGACAGTGCTGGCTCTTCGGCTTTGAAACGGAGATGAGCACCGCAACCCTAGAGTCGGACCTGACTGGCTTTCAAGCAAGGGAACCTTTACCTTTAGTGACAAATAGAGCTATGTATAAAAATATGTTACACAGTTCCTGAGCGGTGAGAATTTCAAGGGACGCACTCCTAGGTTTCGTTTCTTTTGCGGATTTAAGGCATCTTTGTCATATTTGCTTTATTTGAAAAACATGCTAGCAGAGCCTACGTGTACAGCAGACACTCCCGCAAGGTGGTACAGGCAGGCTTTTATCAGCTCCTCAGAGAGAGAGGAGGACCAAAGTGCACAGGATGCTGGAGTTTGGCGAATGGCTCTGCCACTGTGTTGGGGAGGGGAGGGGGAAATAGATTCGGACTATGCTGCTGGAGAAGGCAGCATTAACTCTTCTACTCCCAAACTCTAACAATCGTAATTCCCTCGCTTGAAAATGCCCCCTTCGCTTGTGGTTTCCTTTATCCCCATTGGGGGGGGGGAGCAGTAATTCAAATGGTGTATGTCATTGCACTGGTAGTGGTGGAAAGTGCTGCCAAATCCCAGCAACCCCGTAGCAAGAGACGTTCAGAGGTGGCTGGCCATTGCCTCCCCTGGACTCTGTTGGTGGTCTCCCATCCAAATACAAACCAAGGCTGACCTGCGTAACTTGAGAGCTAAAATCAGCCCGGGAGTGAGGATTTTCAGTCATGGAAATGGTGTCGTGGGGAGGAAACAGTTAAACTTTTCACCCCTCTCGGCGGCTCCTTTTGGGGGCAAATAAGCAATTGGGGAGATCCCCTTCCAGACCTCTAACACCACACATAGTTCGGCCCAGAAGCCCCAAGGGGCTGCATCTTCTCCTGCCACCCCTCCCTCTCTGTCTCCCCCTCCCCACTCTCTGCCGCTGCCCGTCTTCCAAATTGCCAGATGCTTTTTCTCATACATAATCACCAGTTTCCAGCTTGGAGGCTGAACTGAATATGTGATGCTGCTTTCTACTGAGTCAGACTGTTGGCCTATCAAGGTCAGTGTCTCCTCTGACGGGCAGTGGCTGTCCAGAGTCTGGGGTCCACGTCTTTTCACACCCACGGCTACCCGATCCCTTTCCAACCGGAGAGAGCCTTCTGCATGCAGCGCGGGTTGTTCTGCCGCTGGACCTCAACCTCGCCTCCCCCAACATAATTGCTCATTCAGGGGACCACCCACAGCCCTTAAGAAACATTAACCTCCTTTTGCCAACTCCTGGATTCTAATCAGGCAGCGCTTTAAGGCAAAACCATAGTGACAGACCCATTCATAGACATCAGACAGCGGCCTGGAAACAGATTAAATTAGTTTAGCAAAGCTAGGGAGATTGTGTTATTGCCAGTTACTGCTTTTGTGAATGGCGGCTGGACTTACCTTGCATATGTCTGAGTGGTGCATAAAAATGTCACAGACAGTCCCTCGTGCACCCCCGTGTCCCTTTGACCCCCCACTACTTATACTTTTTTTTGGGGGGGGGTGTTCCTCTCTACACTTACTTATGATTATATCCGCCAACTGAGGATATGCTTCGTGAACATGACAACGCAGCCTCTAGTCCAGGAAAGCTCCAGCCTCCGTACATCTGCAAAGGTGCCACAAGACTCATTTGTGGCCTTTCTGCAATAGACCAGCATGGCTGTCCCTCTGGAATCTGCCACGACATATCCCACCAATAGGCACAGCTGTGGTTTAGAAGGACGAAGTGAAATCTGAATCCAGATGGAGTGGTGCAATAGTGGAGAAAGAACGCACCTGCTGGATTGCATCCTACTGTGCGGCTGTGTCTTAAGCAGCCTTTGTCAGGAAGCAAGGTGGCACAGCCTTGAGTAGGGAGCCCCACGGCTCACGAAGAGTTTCCATTCAGAAGCAGGGCCGGTTCCATCATCCCGAGCAAGGTGCACCCATCGCCTCTTTCCACACTGCTGTTAGTGGGGTCTGGGCAGTTGCATCGTGTCAGAAAGTGGAGCCTGTTGTCTCCCACACCAGTGATGGCGGCCGGGGAGATGAGCTGAGTCCCTGCCTCGTTTTGGTAGCTTGGCCAGAGAACTGGCCCTGTGCAGATGGCCCCAGCCTGGGTTCAGTCTCATGTAACAGGTTGCCGGGCTTGGAGACTCCTGTCTGAGACCCTGGGGAGCCACTGTCAGGCAGAGTAGTCAGTAGCTGGTTAGATGGACCACTGATTGTTGTGGGGGTCACCCCCCCATTTCAATTTTGCTTCTGCCTTGTGTTGTACAAATAGATTCCCAAGCCAAAAAGAGAAGTCAAAACAAGGAGGAATGTTCATTGATTATTTCATTGCAATTAAACAATTGAAAACAGTTAGGCCAAAGCAGCCTATCAGAAATTGACTGCTTTCTGACCACGAGAAGGAAGTACATGAAATGTTATTCCCCAAGTGACAGAGGCCAAAAAGATAACATCCAGAAATCATAATTGGCCACAAAATGTCAGGGCATCATCTGAGTAGTCATTTATTCATTGGTCAGTTACAGAAAAAGGTGTGCCTGTATGATGATGATGATGATGATGATGATGATGATGATGATGATGATGATGATGATGATGATGATGATGATGATGATGATGATGATACCTTTCGATTTATTGATAGCTCAATCTGCTGCTGGCTCTGAGCGATTTACAGTTACACAGGTTTTACACGAGGGACTAACAATTGTTCATAGGGGTAAGGGAGGACAACATATAATTCTTTAAATCGCACACGTTTGCAGCCTACAGGGATTCTGTTCAGCTGTAGGCTTCAGACGTGTTCCGGATGGCATTCACTTCAGCTTGGCTTGATGGCGTTGGTTCTTCCTGGGCTGCTTTTGAGTCGTAGCACCGCACTGCCACCGCCTGGCCAAATTGGCCCATCACAGGCTTCTTAATGCCGAAGAGGTCTTTTTTCCCAGGCTTCCGAGCTGGACATTCCATTCGCCAGCTAACACATCCCCTACGGGGGTTTAGTGTGCCCACCCTCTCTAAGGAGTGGTACCCATTTTATCTACTCGCCGAAGCTTTCGAACAGCTGGGTGGATGGCGAGCTGGGGACAAGGCTGGTAGCTCACACCAGCGCGGGCTAGAACTGACAGCAACTCTGTTCAGTTCAGATTTTAACCAGAGGCTAAATCCTCTGTGCCACCGCTCCCCATGATATCTTAAACATTTATTTAACTTAACCTTAATAATAATACCCAAGGATTCTTCATACCCAAACAAAAAGGTGCTGTTTTCTGATAAAGCCCTTTTTGACCCAGACACTGCAGAGTTTTACCCCAAACAACTACAACCATGAACTCTATATTTTAAGCAAATACATCTGTTGAAAAACCTGTCTTCTGCTGTACCGGCAATACTGCACTGAAGGCCTGCTAAAAACACCAGATAGCTAGATAGCTATTTCATCCAAACAACGTAAAAGAAAAAAAGAATGTTGTTTCTTGTCTGCTAGCATCAGCTAAAAAGACCTACAAAGGAGAGGCCTTCCCGCTTAATAGGCTTTTATTAAATCCTAATAAAATCTCAATATAAAAATTCATAAAATTAGAAAAATATAAGTATATGAATAATCTGAAATCTTTTAAAAAATCATTATATATCCCCATCCATACCACACTTGTGCAAAATGCCCCACAACTCTCTATTTTCCTGTTCTTTCTGGTTTTCTAGGATTGCATTGTTTTCCATAATGCGTCCATGGTTTTCAACATTATTTTTGCATCAGTAAATCAGCATTATACAAGTATTATCCATGTAAATAACAACATATGCAGAGATGCATACATACAGCATGCAAATCTACAAAACCAGCAGCAAAAAGTGGAGATACAAAACCACTGGCAAACATATAAATGATTGTAAGACCAGATGAAATGAAATAGGGAAAGTTCGCTCATCCCTGGTATACAAGCCACTTGACTAAGGGTGAGGTGCTCCGTGCTCATTCGGGTACCTTTCTTTCTTCCAACAGAATGTCTGTGATGAGTTTCCTAGTTCTCATCCTGAGCTGGGGCTCCATGGGGCTGGAGACAGCAGCAGCCGTGGTGAGTAAGGGGCTTGGGGTGGGGGCGTAGATCAGGAGATCTGGGCTGATGACATCCAAAGCTGGGAGAGGGAAAGGAGGAAGGGGAGCAATCTAGGGCTAGCCTGGCCATATGAACAGGCTATGCAGCTACCTGGAGCAGCACAGCGGAAGGGGGTGAGCCTCCACCTGGCCTAGCTGGGAGCCCCTCTTAGAGTTCCCAATTCCTGCTTGGGAAATTCCAGGAGATTTGTGGGCTGTGCCAGAGGAGGGCAGAGCTTGGGGAGGGGAGGGAACTCAGGAGGGGTGTGAAATCCCTCTAGGCTAGGATGTCTGTTTCTACTAGACGCTATGGTTCATCACTTGAGCTGCGGTGGCTCAAGTGGTTAAGACGCTGAACTGCAGGCTGTGGAAGGTCAGTTCAGCAGTTCGAGACCTGGGTGTGCCGCATGACGGAGTGAGCTCCCGTCTCTCGTTCCAGCGCCTGCCAACCTAGCAGTTCGAAAGCAAGAAATTGCAAGTAGATAAATAGGTACCACTTCGGTGGGAAGGTAACAGCGTTCCGTGTGCCTTGGTGTTTAGTCATGCCGGCCACATGACCACGGAAACGTCTTCGGACAGCGCTGGCTCTTCGGCTTTGAAACGGACATGAGCACCGCAACCCTGGAGTCGGACTCGACTGGCATTCGAGCAAGGGAACCTTTACCTTTACCTTTACCTTTACCTTTATGGTACATCGTGGAGTTCCTCCTCCAATGCTCCCATTTCCTCCAGGGGATCAGTAATCCTCTATAGTCCAGAGATGAGTTGTAATTCCATGAGAACTCCAGGCTTCACCTGGAGGTTGGCGGCACCTCCACTGAACGCGTGAGCTGAGGGACTGGACTTCCACCCCATAGTCCTACCCCAGCGGCACCAGGCCTGATAGCCACTGTGAGAAATGCACCTCTGCTGCATTTTCAGCCACTGTGTCTTTGTGCTAGGATGTTCCAAGCTGTTGTATTTTTGCCTGTCCTGCAGATGTCAAAAGCACAGGAACCTCTGGCAGGAGAAAAGAGGGCCACCTTATGCTGTCTGAAGGACTGGCTGGGTGGCCTTGCTGGAAAGTCTGTCCCTGCTCTCTGAAGCACATTAATTTAATTGCTGGCATTTCCAGCCAGAGTTAGGGTTCTCTTCCCCCCCCCCCATCATCACATCCCTCTACACACAAACACACACACACTCTTCCCACTCACTTCTAATTATCCGGCACTACACAGTCTCTGTGTACTTTCCAGTAGCCTTGATTAATGTTTTGTCCCCTCCACGGATGGGCACAGCCCTTTTGAGGTGCCTCAGTGCCACACTGCATCCACACAAACCTCACCTCAGGCCTTCCTAGTGATTCCCAATTCCAGCCAAGAGCCCCTGTGACCCTGGCCTCGTCTCCCTGTAGAATTTGCACTTCTTTGTCTTACCCTCCTGTCCTCATCCCTACGATGCATTCTTTCTAATCCATCCTTCACAGTCCGGGTTTCTAGGAAATCCTGCGGTTACGTGGAGACCTGTCAAGGACTCCTCTTTGAGGCCACCGATTATGAGAGCAAGCTTCTCCGAAAGAAACCCACCACCACCAATTTTTCCCTGCAATCCAGAGTTGAAGGGGGGTATTGGATGGGTTCTAGGTATAAAAGGGAGTATTGGATGGGTTTGAGGCATGACACCAATTTTTCCCTGCAATCCAGAGTTTGAAGGGGGGTATTGGATGGGTTCTAGGTATAAAAGGGAGTACTGGATGGGTTTGAGGCATATTGTTTCCGTTGTCCCAGGGCCATGACAAGACCTGGTATGAACTGAGATAGTCCCACAGTCCCCTGTAGTCCACCAGGGCTTCGTAGCAGATGTCTAGTAGTTCCACAGCTATCAAGTCAATGTGGGAAGGGTCTTCATCTCAAGTCTGAAAACCCAGAAGGTCATACTCCAAAATCCCATGATCATTCCACACCCCCTGTCCCAACACCACTTGCCGTGCTGGCGCTCCCAGCCCTCCAGACCTAGCGGCCATCAGGGCTATTTTTGGGCAGGAACGCACAGGAACGGAGTTCCGGCTGGCTTCAGAGTTGGCCACGCCCACTACAGCCGAAACCTCTGTGTGCGGGGCTACAGAGGGAAGGCCTGGAGAGCGACACCCCCCTGGCGACTCCGAGGTGGGCAGGCCAGAGGGGGCCCTGGAAGGATCGGGGAGGCGTTTAAATGCCTCCCCATGCCTTCCCCCGCCTGTCCAAGAGCCGGCTTGCCTGGGCTCCCCGCAGCCGCAGGGCATACGGGCAAGCCAAGGGAAGGCATGGGGTGTGGCCTAATATGCTAATGGGTTTCTGCTGTTGGGTGTGTCATATTATGCTAATGAGTACCTGCTGGCCTTTTTCTACAAAAAAAGCCCTGGCGGCCACACCTGCATAATGCATAGGGGCCTCCCCTCTAGGGCTCCCAAACTCCAGCTGAGGCTGGGAGTTCTCTCGGAATCATGACTGATGATCTCCAGACGATAGAGATCCGTTCCCCCTGGAGGAAACGGCTCCTTTGGAGGGTGGATTGTACGGCATGATACCCTGCTGGGGTCCTTCCCCTCTCCAAACTCCACCCTCCCAAGGCTCCACCCCCAAATCTCCAGGAATTTCCCAACCCAGATTTGGCAACCCTACTCCCCACAGTCTGCAACCCCCTCCTTTAAAGCCCCTTTAGGCCTCCCCCCCCCTTTCTTTCCCCCAGCCCTGCTGTTTTGCGACAGCACGATTCAGTTAAAAGAAAAATCTTCTTAAAGGGCTGAAAAGGGGGGAAGGAATGTAGAGTTTAGCTCCGCCACTTTGAAGACGGATGGGGCTTGGCTCTCTGCACCCCTCCTCGTTTCCTAGTTTCCAGACAGATGCGCCATCCGTGTGCATCATCCCACGGTTTCCTCTGCCGGAGAAAATGAGATTTATGCTTTGCCTGGAGCAAAGCGGGGGAAACGGGAGTCAGAGGAATCATTACTAGAGTTGCCAACCTCTAGGTGGTGGCTGGAGATCTCCTGCTGTTGCAACTGATCATCCAGGTGACAGAGATCAACACACCTGGAGAAAACCCCGCCCTCCTCAGGCTCCACCCCCAAAATCTCCAGGTATTTCCCAATGCAGAGTTGGCAACCCTAAGTCATACCCTCATTGAGCATGGCATTGTCTGGACGCTCTCTAGGGTTGCCAGCCTCCAGGTGGGGCCTGGGGATCTCCCGCTTTTACAACTGATCTCCAGCTGACAGAGATCAGCTCCCCTAGAGAAAATGGCTGCTTCGGAGGGTTGTGGCATTGTACCATGCTGAGGCCCCTCCCCTCCCCAAACCCCGCCCTCTCCTGGCTCCACCCCCAAAGTCTCCAGGTATTTTCCAACCCAGACCTGGCAACCCTAACACTCTCCTTTATTGTAGGGGCTTCTTGCTATCTGTGCAGGTGACGTCCCCACACGGAAGCAGCCCAAGGCAGGCCTGTGTATGTCCGAAACCATAAACACCCAGCTATTTTTCTCTCCCGTGGGGGGGGGGGGGGAAGATACAGATACCCCCCCCACACACACACACACACAAACCACTTTTGAAATCCTTTCCATCAAAACACAGTTTGTCCCCTTGCTTTTGGCCTCCCAGGGAGTTGATGAATTATTTTATTCTCAAAGGCAGTGGGTGGTAGAGAAAACTGAGTAGCCTTCCTAACATGGTGACGACGGGCCATTTCAGCTGCTGGTTCTTATCGATTTTTTTGGTTGGTTTGATTACTTCCATAGAGATATTATTTATTGCTGTTCTTTTGATTGACTGTTATTACGTTACCGCTATGTTGTTAATATTGCATTTGTATTGTTTTATAAAATATTCCCTTGTAAGCCACCCCGCGTGCCGTTTTTAGCAGGAAGGCAAGGGATATATATCTTCTCAATAAATAAATAGGCCTTGTGTTCACCCCAGGGTGCTTCACGTCTGACCAAGGACTCACCACCTGATTTCCAAGAAATGTAATTAAATAATAATTATCTCAGCTTAATCTCCCATCTAGCATTTATTTATTTTCTCTATTTACAGTCTGCCTTTCTTTAGGAGAGTCAAGGTGGATAACAAAATTTTAAAACAACGCAATAAACACAGTACAAGACATAGGCCATGATCACACGGGGCAGTTTGGCCTGACACAGCCACTCCTCTCCGGATCAAATGGGCACAGTCAGACAGCCACGTCACAGGATGACTTGGAGCCAGGTTAAAAAGGCACCACATCATGTTGTGTTTTCGGTTCCCCGCGCAGTCATTGCGCATGGCCAGATGTCTGAACTGCAGATCCATTCTGCTGCTGGGGAGGGTTTTTTTTTTAAGTTGCCTATGTGCGCATGTGCGCACGCATGAATTTTGAGATATTTTTTTTGGTAGTGCAATCTGAGGCGCTGCAATCATGTGGCTGCTTTACCATGGGATGTCTCCATGGGTAACCCACAGCAGGGTGTGCTGTGTGGCTGATATGCCCAGCAACACTTTCAACCGGTTCAGTCAGAGGTGGCACCATAGGGACAACTTCACTGAGGACACTTTGGCTAAACAATCATTGGAAGGCACTTTCTGGATCAGGAATTATTTTCAGTGAAAGATCAGTGGGCATGTGATCGCATCTTTGGAGGCCTCATTTATACTTTTATTCTATGCCTAGTGGTTTCACTTTGGAACAATTTTTTTCCTGGTCCATCTTGTATCTATGTTGCATAATTGTATGATTGTACTACATTATGGTATAAGCCAATATGTTCCTCATTGTGTTTGACCTCTGAAGAAGGCCTATACAGGCTGAAACGCGTCAGGTCAAGTCCATTAGCCCTTGTGTGTTAGATTCTGGTATTTTTACATGAGGTGTGATTGGGCCCTTATATGTTTTTTAATTCTTTGTTAATAAATACATGTATCTTTTTATATACTATACATTTTAAGTTTTTATTGTTGGCCCTCTATTCTACTTGACTTACCTTTTTAGGTTCTGGATCCCAGGTTTCCAGGTTAAGTTCCCCCTAGGCTTGCCAAGTCCCCCCGGGGGGCGGGGAAAACCCCGCCCCAGAGGCCCGTTCCCCGCCGCCGGCAGATCAGGCCCCAGGGGGAACTCCGCCCCAACGTGCACGTCACCAGGAAGTGACACGACCATGCCAGGCACGCTGGGGGTGGGGCCACGGTCATCCGAGGGAAAACTCTATGGTTTCGACCTGGGAGTCCCTGCTTCAGGACGAGGTACGACTTGGCAACCCTAGTTCCCCCCCCCTTTTTGTCCCATATCGTGCCAAGCCACCAGCGTGACCACGGCCATACAATCAGCAAGGCAAAATTGTATCACAAAATTAGAAGACAGTGCAGTTTTGGGGTTTTTTTTAAAGTATAAGACCGGTCACTTCAGAAACAATGGTTCTCATTTCTGGACCCTTTCCTCTCAAACCACAATGCCCCAAAGATATACTGCCCTGTGCCATTTCATTCCGCAATGGTGCCTATCAGGTGGACCTACCGCTGTCTATTAACGGGACTCTGCCTTCTTGACAGTGAAGACCTTTGCAGAGTTACTCCAATCTAACCCCACTGAAATCAGCGGGTTCAGACTGGAGCAATTCTGCAAGGGATTGTACTGATTGTTGCTTGGTTTTGCTTAGATGCTGATAACAACAGAATGCAATGACAGAGACATTTCTTCCTCCTCCTCTCCCCCCCCCCCTTTCAGGGACTGAGCGATTTCTGCTTTGAGCCAGATGGCTATGTGATGAACACAACCCAAGCCAGAACTGGACTCAGCCCAGGTAGGATCAGAGCTGCCACGAATGGGTTTCCACCTGGGTCGAGGATGGTGCAATGATTACTAACTTCCTTGCTTACAGAGGCTGGGTGCTTCTTGGTTAATTTCCCAGATTGCTGCACTCTTCTGATGTCAAAAAACCCAATCTGAATAGTCCAAACTAGCCTGATCTCATCAGTTCTGAGAAGCTAAGCAGTGTCAGCCCTGGCTACTGTTTGGATGGCAAACCACCTGAGTGTCTCTTGCTTTGAAAACTCCACGGGGTCCCCATGAATCAGCTGTGACTTGATGGCAAAAAATAATAATCTTAGAAGCGAGACTGGGAGGGGCATGACACCATAGGGTTGCCAAGTCTATTTACCTTGGTGGCGGGGGAGCCTCGCTGGGCTCCGGGAGCTGTCGGTGACGCAGCCACGCTGCGCTTCGGGGGGCAGAGTTCCCCCCGGGGCCAGATTCCGCGGTGGCGGAAATCGGGCATCCAAAGTGGGGATTTACCCGCCCACCGCCCCCACTTGGCAGCCCTATGACACCAGCTCAAATGGACCCAGTGTCTGATTTCTTTCTCTCTTCCTCCTAACTCTGCAGAAATCCTGCAATACTACTTAACCTGCAGCCAAGATGTCTTTAACCCTTTCCAGCAGGTAGGTGATACCATTTGCCCTCCAGAAAGTGTTGCCTGTATGCGGGAAACAATTCTGTGCCAAGGTAGCCAAAAAAAATCTGCATCCTGGATCAGTTGTGAAAACCAGGCCAGTGTTTAGTCAGCAGCTTACTATGCATCATCATGCATTCTGTTTTCATTAGTCACACGGGAGGGCCAAGGATGTTTCCCAAAGCTTTGCCAACACATTCTCAAGCCCACCCCCACACGTGTAGGCAGGGCTATTTTGGGGCAGGAACGCACAGGAATGGAGTTCCGGCTGGCTCCCGAGTTGGCCCCGCCCAGCAGGAACTCATTAGCATAATAGGCCACACCCAACAGCAGAAACTCATTAGGATTGGCTACATTAGGGGTGTGTGGCCTCACATGCAAAGGAGTCCCTGCTACAAAAAAAGGCCCTGGGTTTTGACAACAAACAAGGTAAACAGAATAACAAGCAAAAGGTGGGTGTGGCTGGATGACCACACGTCTGGTAACATGAGGGTGCGGCCTAATGTGCTAATGAGCTGTGCTGTCAGGGGTGTGGCCCAATATGCTAATGAGTTCCTGCTGTTGGGTGTGGCCTGTTATGCTAATGAGTTCCTGCTGGGCTTTTTCTACAAAAAGAGCCCTGCATGTAGGGACTAGAAACTTGCTTTTGCTTTTAAAAACAAAATCAAGGTGGGCATTCTCAGCACTCTGAATTCAGTTCCAGGTTTTGTATTTGATCTAATCATAAAATAGCAAAATCCACATACACCTTTATATAACAAAGTGAGCTGTTACTCTCAAACTTCTGCCCTAAAAATTTTGTTTTTGTCTTTGATATGCTTCAGTTTTGTTCTGCTGCGACAGTCTTCTGTCCATCTGAAACTGTAACACCTTTTTGACACCGTGGATTGCACATTTGGCTAAACAGACAAATAGCCAAATTAAATAGCTTTTGTTTTGTGTTTATTATTTATTTTACTTGTGTTTGTTATTTATTTAATTTATAGCCCGCTCTCCAGGCCCCTTTTTTCATACTTTTGGTCGCTACTAGACTTATTCTACATCTCTTTCAGTTTCCTTCTGTAGAATACCTGTTTGATATTGAACCCAGGTGTTTGGTAAATAATGACTTAGAAATTAATTGCTGTCAAAATGCTTTAAAAAAAAAAAAGACGGTTACTATTTATCAGCAAAAGGGAATAGAATCTAGTCCTGCTCTTACCTGTGTGACAGTGGCGATTCAGGCCCCTAGAATGTACCATTGGAGTGTAGTTTTCCAACCACAGTGCTTTGCCTTTCTCCCATAATCCTTCGCTCCATGGATACAGAGGCTCACCATGTGTCAGAGGGCACTGTCCAACATACACTCTCAGCTGTACGGATTGGAGAGAGAAGCTGTCCCACAATTCCCAGCCGCTGAGGTCAGTAGGGATGCACACAGAGGGTTCCTGGGAGCCAGGACATTTGGGAAAGGAATTGGATGGGGCTGGGATGAGGGAACTGTGAGCCAGGATACCCGGGAGGTTCTCTCCTCACGGCTTTTCTGAATTGCAGAGGAGCATACTGGCCATCCAGAGCACTTTGAACACTACAGAAAGCAATTTCCATCACCTCGTCGCTCTGCTCAACTGCCGGGGACTTCACAAGGTACCTGCCCAGTTCTTCTTCCTCCATAAACAGGTGGACCCCGATCCACCTCTTAGAGGGCCACTGAGCTGCTTTCCCTCTCCTTCTCTTCCTGGCACCATCGCCACCTGCTCCTTCCTCAGCAGCTACCATGGTTCCTTGCGCGATCATGCACGTGGACCTGTGGGCCTAGAGGGCATGCTTAGTATTCTAAGGGAAATAGAAATAGAATTACTGCAATCTGTGCAATCAAAGCTTAATATAATATCTGAATGGATACAAAATTACAAATCACATATTGACTAATAACATTATTTTATACAGATGAATCAATAAGATGGACGAAATTCCCCGGAGTTGATGTTCCGTTTCGTGACGACTTCTTCACACATCAAACCTCATACAGACGTGCCTTCAGCCCGCAATTGACACTACGGTTTGTTAACACTACGTGAATGAACACCAGAAACGTATAGGAGTTAAGAAATATCCATTTGGAAAGTTTTTGTGACCATATGAAGGCACGTCTGTATGAGGTTTGATGTGTGAAGAAGTTGTCACGAAACGGAACGGAATATGTGATTTGTAAGTGAATATGTGATTTGTAATTTTGTATCCATTCAGATATTATATTAAGCTTTGATTGCACAGATTGCAGTAATTCCATTTCTATTTCTTCTTGTTATTCCATACTGCAACCCCCCCCCCCTCTTTACTGATTAGTATTCTAAGGGAACCAAGTGAATGGGCTTTGGGCCTCAAAGAAGCCAAGACCAGTAGGTGGTCTGTATGACAGATGACAGCATGGCAGGTCAAGGGGAGCTGGGGGGGGCACACTGCTATTTGTTCATTTGTTTGTGCACGACAAATATTTCTACCCCACCTTCCATCCATAAAAAGGGACCCTTAGGGTAGCGTTGTCGACCTTCAGGCGGGGCCTGGAGAATTCCCGGAATTATAACAGACCTCTGGACGACAGAGATCCATTTCCTTGGAGAAAATAGCTGCTTGGGAGGGTGGACTCTGTGGCATTATACCCTGCAGAGGTCCCTCCCCTTCCCCAACCCCGCCCTCCCCAGGCTCCACCCCCAACTATCCAGGAATTTCCCACCCTGGAGTTGGCAACCCTGCTTTATGGAAGGTTACAACGAACCAAAACCAGAGATTATAAAAGTATCCGTTACAATAAAAACAAAACCCTCAGCCACCATATTGCGATGGCGACTAGCGTCCATTAGAAAGCATAAAGAACCAGCCTGACCATTAAACAGCAGAATATTAAAAAGCCCTGCTGAAAAGCCTTGGCTTGGATCCAGCCTAGATTTCCACATGCGTGTGTGTGGGGTGGGATTTGCTCACCTGTCCCGCATGAGATATCTGATTTCCCTCTAAGCTATTCCTAGGAGCTCTCCATCCCCCAGGAGCAGCATTTTGGAGGAGGATGTGGGAGGGAGGAATTAGTAAAAATGGCCCATCCTCTGCTTCTCAGAGAAAAGTGTTCCAAAGCTCTGGGGCCATCACGGACAAGCCCCTGCTGGATATATGTCGATGTTTTCTTTCTTTCTTAGGACTATGTGGATGCCCTGAAAGGGCTGTGCTACGACGGCATGGAAGGCCTGCTCTTCCTCCTCCTCTTCTCCTTCCTCTCCGCCCTTTCCTTCACCACAGCTGTCTGCAGTCTGCCCCGTGCCTGGAAGAGGTTCCAGAACAGGTAAGCCTAAACTCTTGATGGGTTCTGGGCATTAGCAGGGGACAGTGCAGCCTTGCAAAGAAGTCCATGTAGTTGCTTCTTAGCGGCCCCCACCTATCTATGTCTTTCTGAAAAGGAAAAAAAGACTTGCTAACTCCGTAAAGCTTCCTGGCCTAGAAGTCATTCATGTGCCATAGGCAACCAGGCTATTTGCTATTTACAATCCTGACCATTTGGTGGCCTTTCATGCACAGTTTCTGGCAGGGGTCATTTCAGGAAGGGTGGGATAAAATGGCTCTAAAGCAGGGTGGCCATATTTCCCGACTGCCTACTTCAAGCAAGTGATCACTAGGACCAGGTGTCATTTCCTAGAAAAAGAGGTGCAGGAGCTCATTAGCATAACTTATTTGCATATGCCACACACCCTGACATCATTGGAAGTGTGTCAGAAGGCAACACCCACCACTCAGGCGCCACTGGACTGTTTTGGATTGCTAGCTTTTTTGGGGGGGGGGGGACGTGCAGATCTGTCCTCACAGAGGAAGGAGAGCTTATACCTGAATAAAACTTGGTCTTAAAGGTGCCACTGGACTGTTTTGGAGCGGGGGGGCTGGGGGGGGCTCTGCAACTTACCTGGATGCTTCTTGCTGTGACTGAGGGCTGCTGGGAGCTGGGGACAGGGCTTGTTGCATGTGCCCACCCCCTGGGCTCTTTACTGCCGGAGCTCCGCTCCTTTGCGCTCCTGCAGGAAATGACCCCTGGTTTCTGGGAGGCTGAGTTATGGTGTAGCACCAGAGCTGAACGATTGGAGGTAGTTTTTAAAGAGCTTGAGAACAATTATCTTTTGTGCTGACTGTAGCACCAGTTATGGAAGTCTGCCTGGAGGCTGTTTCAGGTGGGTAGCCATGTTGGCTGTAGTGGAGAAGCAAGATTCAAGTCCAGAAGCACCTTAGAAACCAACAAGATTTCCAGGGTGGAAGCCTGTGAGAATCAAAGCGAAAGGGCTCTCGAAGGCTTATCCCCCAAAAAATCTTCTTGGTTTTTAAGGTACTGCCAGACTTGAACCTTGCCTGAAGGGTGCTTACAGAAAAGTTGTTTTAGAACAAAAGATATTTGAACGGTGGCCTCAGATATTCTAGCAGTAGCATTAGGAATGTGTGCCATGACCTGATCTAGCATCATCTGAGACATCAGCTCTGATCTTCTGATGTACCTCAATAGAAGGGGTCTTCTGGCAGCTTCTATTAGAGAGAAGACCGAGGTATGACTGCAGCTAGTGGCCTGAGACAAGGGGAGGCTGTACTACTTCTGTCTCGGGTGTCTTGGTGCTTTCCTTGCCCACAAAGGGCTGATAAACATGGTGCCTGGGAAGCAAAAGAGCTCATCTGTGAGACTTTGCGCTTGTCTTATTTAAACCGTACTGCAACACATGCAAAGCTGTTACACTGGTGTGCTATGCGTAAGAACTATCGATCTCCGGCATGCAAACTAAACATGCACCGCTGCTTTGTGTGGGTTGCAGCACAGTACGAGACCCTGCAAAGTCGCGAAGGGAAGGTCTTTGCCTCACCCAGTGTGGCCCGAGTGCCTGAGATTGACAGATGCCATCTCAGTCAACCGGTTGTAGTGGCCTTCATGACACAACAAGAAGAGCAGGGAAGCTGTGGAGGAGGTAGCCACAGTGAAAAAGCCCGCCAGTAGACCACCAGTGGCCGGGCCATGTGCGAGCATTTGATTCACTGCTATGCTACAGCAGTATGGACATGAAAAGAGTACTCTGTGTTCCATTTTATCTATCTCTTGCCTTATCTTTTCAAACTGAGGCATCAATTGGCATTTGAATCACAACTTTCCATACCAGCAAAAGATTGTAGCCTGGGTACTGCTGTGGTTAGGCTGTAGTATGAGCCAACAGGTGTTTTGCTGGTCTCCTGGAATCCCTGGAGAAAGGTGAGGTTAGAATGTTAGCATAAAGAGCCAGTTTGGTGTAGTGGTTAAGTGCGCGGACTCTAATCTGGGAGAACCGGGTTTGATTCCCCACTCCTCCACTTGAACCTGGCTGGATGACCTTGGGCAAGCCATAGTTCTGGCACAGCTGTTCTTGAAAAGGAGCAGTTCTTGAACGAGCTCTCTCAGCCCCACCTACCTCACAAGCAGTGTTCCCTCTAAGCTGAGTTAGTGTGATCTAGCTCACAGTTTTTTAGCCTCCGTCTCACACATTTCTGTCTCTGCTCAGGAAGGAGGGCTCCAGAGCAAACTAAGTTATGCAGTAGCCAAATCGCTCGCTCACAACTTTAATGCCAGTAGCTCACAAAGTAGAATTTTTGCTCGCCAGACTCCCCAGCTTAGAGGGAACATTGCCAAGGTGTCTGTTGTGGGGAGGGGAAGGGAAAGGAGTTTGTAAGCCGCTCTGAGACTCCTTTGGGTAGTGAAGGGCGGGGTATAAATCCAATCTCTTCTTCTTCTTCATAAAGAAAATAAGGAACAAATATCTTGTCGGGGCCACTGTGGGAAGCTCCAGTATGTGGTGCTATAATTTTGGTGGGGGAAGGGAAAGCAGCCTGGTTTAGCCCAGTCCGATCAGATCTCAGAAGCTAAGCAGGGTCAGTACTTGCATGGGGGGGGGCCAACGAAGGAAGACAGTGGCGGGCCACCCGCCTCTGCGTCTCACCTGCCTTGAAAGCCCCTTGCTAGGGTCACGATCGGTCAGCTGCAACTTGACAGCCCTTATGAACGTGATTTTGGTGTGAGATTTGGGAAACGTGATATATTTTTCTCGGAGTTGACGGATCGTGAGCAACCCAGAGCGGCTGCTTTCTTGGGCCCCTCTGGGCTCTAACCTTACTTGTGACGGCGGGTAGGGCGATTCTGTCCAAATGTGCTCCTCACGCTCTCTCTCTCTTTCTCTTTCTCCTTGCGATCCTGTGCAGGGACTCGGACTATGACGACATGGAGGACGACGACCCTTTCACGCCCCAGGCACGTAGGCTGCCGACGGTGCGCGCGGGGGGGGCCGGGCCCACCCTGCCCGGCTCCTATAGCCACTGTTCAAGCTGGGGCAGCCGTGGCAGCCTGCGCCTCTCAGCCCCCCCCATTTCCAACGCCCCCGTCTCACAGTACATGTGAGTAGCCCCAACCACCCACCTCCCAACCCCCTCCCCGCGCGCTCGGTCACGATGCCCCCCGCGAAGTGGGAGGGGCTTGGAGCAGCCAGTGATGGCAAAGGGCTGAGTGCGCGAGTGGTGGGGGGAAGGGAGGGCTGACTCCCCCGGACAAGCATCCGAGCGCTCCCTACGCTTCCCCCCTCTGCCTTTCCCTCTCCCTTCCTTCTCTTCCCCTGTCCTGCCCTTCACATCCCATTTGTTCCTCCCGTCCGTTCGTCTGTCTCCCCGCCTGCCTTTGCTTCAGACATTCCCCGAACACTCTCTCTCCTGCATGTTGTTCTGAATCCTCTTGAGGTGTTTTGGAGAAAGAAAATAGCTTCTGAACGGGCTGAGGCCCAGATAACAGAGTTCACGGGTTGGGTCTGGGGTCCCCACTCTGTGTTAGCTGCAACCAGGGGTCGTTTGGTAGAAAAAGAGCTAGGGGAACTCATTAGCATAACTCATTAGCATATGCCACACCCCCTGACATCACCGGAAGTGTGTCATAAGGCCACACCCCCTGACATCACCGGAAGTGTGTCATAAGGCCACAAACCCTGCCCCCAACGGTCCCGGCCGCCGCCGCCGGCCTTGCAGCTCCACTGTGAGCCCCATGAGGGGCCCGGCGGTGGACCTGCAAGGCCGGCGGGAGTGCAAGGAAGCCCCGCCAAGGCCCTCCCTGGCCCCAGGCAGGCAGGGGTGGGGAGAGGCAGGGAGGAAGCAACTTACCCTCCCTCTTCTCCTGCCTCCTCCTGGCTGAATGAGGGCCGGAAGCGGGGCGGCCGGAAGCGGGGGGCGGGGCTTCGTCATGTGCCCTGCCCCCGTACCTCTCCCAGGGGAACTGCGATCCCCCGCGATCCCCCCCGAAATGACCTCTGGCTGCAACAGTCAGATCAGATGTGAGCTGTGGATTCTACTTAATTCCCGTGTGTGTCGTGCTTGATTTGGGTCAGGAGTGTGGTTACGCTTGCCAACCTCCAGGTGGTTCCTGGAGTTCTCCGGGAATGATAACTGATCTCCAGATGGCAGAGGCCAGTTCCCTTTGAGAAAATGGCTGCTTTGTAGGGGGGGACTCTATAGTATTATACCCTGCTGAGGTCCCTCCCCTTCGCAAACCCCGTCCTCCCCAAGCTCCACCTCCAAATCTCCAAGAATTTCCCAAACCAACCATGGTGCATGTGAGGAAGGAGCTCCATTCCCTTGACCTACAGTGGTCCTGAGGGTTATGTTGAAGAGAACCACCTGTTCCCTGGCATACATGTAGTTCTCCTCAACGTGCCAAACTACTCTCCCCGGACTCTTGCAGGTCGTGGACATGGTGTGTGGAGTGGGAGGCTGAAGCCCCTTTCCCCAAATACTGGCTTGAGAGAGGCGACTCTTGCCTGGATATAAACACACATTTGCTTAACCTACTGTCACTTCTGGTCCAATAGGTTTTGCAGGTTTTTAAAATAATAATTAAAAAAAAAAAACCCTGCAAAACCTGCATGCCAGAGATGTGGAATGCCAGACTACAAAAACCTTTCAAACTGCATGAATGCTCCAGGGGTTGGGGGGAGGAATCATCTGTGTCCTGCCAGTCCTACATATTTAAACTGGCTTTGTGACTGGGGAACTATGGCTGCGGTCACACGGCGCATTAGGCACGCTAGAGAGACGGAAGATAGGCGGATTTTCCAGGCGTGATCTCACCGCCACATCTGGGAAGCGTAGAGCTCCCGTGGCGAACCCGAGGCTTCCCTCCGAAGACGCGCGGTTAAAAACTAGTACCTCGGAGGTACTAGTTTCCGGTAACCGTGGGGCAAGGGCGGGCGTCTGATCGCATTTCCGCCCATGCCCCCTCGTATAAAGGGTTTTTTCCCAACTGTCCATGGGATGTGCACAAGCACCCAACAGGGCATGCGCACACTTTGGTGTCCGGAGGAAAAAACACCCGTCTGCTGCGCCGCGCCGCTTCTTTGCCACGGCGCAGGATTGTAGTGTGCTCGGCCCCTCTCCCTACCACGGGACCTCCACGGGACCTCCACGGTACGTCTGCTGGCCCAACCGCGCGTTATTTTGCCCCGGGGCAAACAGCCACGCTTCCCCCCCCGCATTTTCCTGCCCGTGTGCCCATGGCCAATGTAGGCTATAAACCAATGAAGGGACTAGCTCTGTCTTTGATAGATGGTGCTTCTACATTAGGACCCTTGTACACTACCCAGCTGGAAGCAGAACTGTAACAGGTCTCATGCACAAACAGCTTCCTACAGCCCCAATCAACCCTACAAATGTGTAAGTGGGCAATGCGGTACTGGTGAGCACAGAGGACCATTAACTCCACTCCTCATTGGTTGTTTTCTTACCTGCAAAGACAGATGGAAAGGCACCACCGTATAATGTAGTTCCATGTATCCCCCCCCAATAACTGTTGCAGATAATTGCCACTTATGCACAATTGCACTGTATTTAAATGTACTTTTGTGGAAGACTGAATTCTAAAAATGGCTAATGCAAACTGCTACATAGGTCGTGGCTGGCAGAACTACACTGCAAGGTTAATGGTGGAGGCAGAGGCAGGCAAATGGATCATGGAAGCAGCCAAGTGCAGAAAAGACATCGACACCGGCCACGGCCACATCACAGAAGGCAGGACCGTGGCACCCTATTCATCATGCTAAGCTTGAGCTGCACGCTTGTTTGTAGCCAAAACAGAATTAGCACAAATGAGCATTTAGAGGAAAAAATAGGACGGCTTCAAGAAAAACATAGGAATGAACTGAGTTGCTTCCACACTAGGACAGTTTATTCCTTTTCCGTAGTCATCTGGAAGTACAATGGCAACTGAAGTTTAATGTGGCACTTAATATAACTCTATATTCCCTGTAAAAATCCTGCAGTGTCCATTCCTAACGGAAAGATCCTATAAGAGGTTTACCCAGAAATATCATTCAGCAAATATCTCATATCTTCTCTTTTGTCCCTTTTTTTACACTGTAATTAATGTCTTCCTATAGCTACTGACATTCCTGAATCAACAGCTAATTATCAGTTCTTGTTCCAGGGTTTGTGCGTGTGTATGCTTAAGCATTCTTTTTCACTTTGTAGTCAGATAGGTAGCTCATTTTTTAAAAAAAAAATTACTGTGATTTCACAGTAAATTAAAAAGGAATGTGGCTTTGGCTGCAAACTGAAAAGTAGCATTCATTATTCTTTTAAAAACACAAGAACTGTAAATCGTTATCTAGGAATTCTGTGGCTAGCCTGGCAGTGGAGAATGGAAAATAATGAACAAGAATGAAAAGAGCAAAATTTAAGAGGAGAAACCTCTACAGGGCAGGGGTGGCCAAACTGCCTACACGTCTTGTGTGGCTCCCGGCAGGGCGGCTGGGGAAGCAGAATATTGTTAGCAAACAAAATTATCATTGGACAAATAGATATCATTATCAATATCTGCTTTTACCACTTTTGTTCTTATTTTTGGCAGTCTCATTTAAGGTTCATATGCATATTTCCCAGTAAAAACGTGTAATATTTGTCCATGTCTTGCAGCTCTCAAACAGCTGACGTTTATTCTGTGTGGCTCTTACGTTAAGCAAGTTTGGCCTCCCCATAGGGCTGCCAAGCCACGGCGGGGGATCCACACGTCTTCACAGGATCCCTGCCGCGGGGGACAGTGATATGCGTTGCACCGCCGTCGCCAGGATGTGATGCTACGCGTCGCTCTGGCAACGGGGCTGTTTGGAGTCTCGTTGCCAGAGAGACGCGTAGCGTCACATCCTGGCGACGGCGGTGCAATGCGTATTGCTGTCCCCCGCGGCAGGGATCCTGTGAAGACGTGCGGATCCCCCGCCACGGCTTGGCAGCCCTACCTCCCCGGCTTTATAGCATTTTGATCATCTGCTCTGGACATCTAGAGCTGCAATGAGATCTTGTGCTTTAAAAAAAAAAATCACTGCATCAGTTCTGAAAAAACTGAAGGATGATGAGATGAGGAATGTAACAAGTTGGCAATGATGTTGTTGAGATTCTCCTTTAAATCCGAGTGAATTGATAGTGGCAATTCCATATTGGAACCAGTTGTTGTTTGGGAGCAATGTTGTCAGGATTTTCTGGAATAACTATGAGAAAATGGCTGGTGTGGAAGCCGCCAAAATTCCCTTGCAAAGCTTGAGTCTTGTGAGGAAAGCCATCCCTCCTATGATGTTTCAGGTCAGGAAAATGGTACATCTGTGGATGGAAGCTTTAAATCCTCTCTCCCCACACACTGTGGTTCCAATACAAATCGACACCTGGGAACTGAGTTCCAGGTGCAGAACTTGCAGTGCCTGTCTGATGGCTAGGGTCTGAGAAACGTAAGGAAAACTGAAAATGGATTTAGGCCCACTCAGTCAGTTTCGCGTGGAGCATGAGAGGGATCCCTTGTGTTTCCATCAGCCGTCTCTGTCTGTCCATTCCATGCCTTGCTCCCCTCCTCCCATTTTGTCAGCCAGTGACTAGTTTGTGTCTGCTCCCACCCCTACCCTTTATTCCTACCCACTGATACTGGCATTGCCGACTTCCAGGTGGTGGCTGGAGATCTCCTGCTATTACAGCCGATCCCCAGGTGGCAGAGAGCAGTTGGAGAAAATGCCCACTTTGGAAGACGGACTCTGTGACACTATACCCCACTGAAGCCCCTCCCCTCCCCAAATCCCGCCCTCACCAGGCTCCACCCCCAAATCTCCAGGTATTTCCCAACCCAGAGCTGGCAACCCTAACTGATATGGATCCAGGAATCCTTCTGACCCTCAGCTCATCTAGTCCCAAAAAAAGGCTTTTGTGGACTATTTCGGGGAGACTGTCCTGGAAATGGTACTATGACCCTCTCTATTCTCTGTTCCGTAACAGAGCATATGCTCAGTTCCTGTTCCTATTCTCACCCAAACTGAATTTTCAAAATCTCCAAAATCTTAACTTTATATTCTTCCCTCCTCCCCTGTACATTTTGTTTTTGTTCTTGCTGCCCTGCCCTGAAGTCTGTTGAGAGACTGAGATCACAATGTGGTCCAAATATCACTGGAAAAGAGGGGGGTGGACCTGGAGTTATCCTAGTCCCAACAGCTACACTTTGCCTGTGGATTGGGGTTACGGTTGGAGTTGCTAGGGTTAGGGTTACGACGGTTAGGGTTGCTAGGATTAGGATTAGGGTTGCTAGGGGTAGGGTTACTAAGGTTAGGGTTAAGGTTGCTAGGGTTAGGGTTACAAGGGTTAGGGTTAAGGTTACTTGGGTTAGGGTTTGGGTTACTAGGGTTAGGGGTTACTAGGGTTAGGGTTAGGGTTGCGAGTGTTAGGGTTAGGGTTGCGAGTGTTAAGGTTGCTAGGGTTTGAGTTACTAGGGTTAGGATTAGTAGGGTTAGGGTTGCTAGGGTTAGGGTTACTAGGGTTAGGGTTAGTGTTGCTAGGGTTAGGGTTGCTAAAATTAGGGTTACTAGGGTTAGGGTTACGGTTGCTAGGGTTAGGGCTGCTAGGGTTAGGGTTGCTAGGGTTTGGGTGTCTAGGGTTAGTGTTGCTAGGGTTAGGGTTACTAGAATTATGGTTGGGGTTTCTACGGCCCGTGGAGAAACAGGCATGTTTCACCCTGCCCAGAAGCAGACCAGGGAACTTTGGTTGGAAGCTTCAGAAGCTAGGTGGGGGGCTCACTTTCTCCCCAGGTAGAGGCTCCAGAGCCTAGGTATTGATTGGAACCTTCTCACACTCAGATTCATTAGTCTTTGGCTTCCTTCCTAAAAATAAAATTCGAGGATTTTATCAGCTGCCACATCTCTGAAGGCATTATGTGGGAGCCTTCAAATGACTTCAATATCTCTGGTAGGATCTGGGAATCATTCCATCTGCCAGATCTGGGGCAGTGGGAGAAGCGGGTGATGGGGGGGGGAGGTGCGTTATGAACTTCTTTGTCGATGTCGCTTGCAGGAGTCAAAGCGCTTCGTTCAGTGGCAGTCCTCGATTTGAGAGCGTCCCCCTCATTGACCGCCATTCCCCACCCCCTTCGGTAAGTTGGTAGCATGAATTCCTGTATCGTGTAATGATTTGAGGCCATATGTGGTGCATCAACTATACCCAAGTATACCACAGCCCTCTGTGTTCTGGCAGCATGAGGCTGCAAAAATGAGTTTTTATCAGAACTCTAGAGACCCACAATATGTGGCCCATGTTTAGGATTGGCAGCTTTGGGTTTCAGAACTTCTGGTATCTGTGCCGGACCAGGGGAGCTCTAGTAGGAGCAGAAGTTGTAGGAGAACCTCTCTGCTTCTGTAGTGCGTGCTGGCAGATACAGAGATCCTGTGATTGGGTTCTAATGTACTATGAAGGGACAGTGCTGGGAAGGGGGTGTGAGAGCCGTCCCGGCAGGTGCTCCTGCCAAGAAGCCACTTTGCCACCACCAACCCCATCTTGGAGCTGAAGAGAAATGGGGGCGGGGGGGGGCACATGCAATTACTCCGCAGTTCTGTGAACTGCATCATGCCCAGTGAGGTGCCAAGGCTTAGTTCAGCCATTGGAATTTTTTTAGTATACATCTGTCAGCTGCACAGGTGAAGTACATACACTGTGGAAATGAGGTTGCCATTTTACTCTAGCTGTCGCACAAAAAGCCCGAGATGCTGGCCCAGAGGTCAGAAACAGTTTTTTCTTGGACAGTTGACAATGCAACCAACATGTTGCGCATGACATGCCTCCACTAAACAGGTTACCTTGCCTTAGGGGCAGAGTTGCTTCAGCTATACATTAGGGTTTCTTCCTAAAGGATGAGGGCTTTTTGTCTCCTGCTAGTGCAGTTCCTGGGATTGCTTTATCAGGCAGGAGATCAGCA